CAAAAAAATAAAAAAATAAAAAAATAAAAAATAAAAAATTCCGTACGGGACTCGCCGATTCACTGTTCGGACTCGCCGATTCCGTACAGTGAATCGGCGATTCACTGTACAGAATCGTCCGGTTCTCTCTAGAACCGGATGATTTCCGATTTTTTAGGCGATCCGGTCCCCTTTTCACGATTTCCGAGTCGAACCGACTCGGCGTTTTTTAAAACACTGGATCGAAGTGTTCTCAAAATTACGAAAAATGGATCCAAACATCACCCAGGTATATTCGATTTAGTTTTGGAGTTTTTAAATCCTATTAGAAGGTGTTTTTGAAATGTTAGCACCAGAAAACATCTCAGAGGTGGAAGCTTGGAGTTCGAGCAATCAAAGTAAGTGCAAAACTTTATTTTTTATATTGCATGTTTTATTTTAAGATGTCTTCTTTAGGATCTAGTCGAAATGGAGATGCAGGTTGGAAATATAAATATAAACCCGAATCCAAATGACAAAAAATGCATTAGATATAATTATTGTGAAAAGGATACAAAAGGGGGCATAAACCGGTTTAAGAAACATCTTGCAGGTAGTAAAGGGGATGTTGCCCCTTGTAAAAATGTTCTTGAAGCTATCAGAGAGGAAATTAAGCAATATATGAGTTCTGTAAAACAAAACCAAAAACAAAATCCTTGTCATTTGAATAGATCTATTTCTGGTTCTGCTAGAAGAAGTGATTCGGTCTGGAAGTATGGTCATAACCCGATCATAACCTGAAACCAAACTAAAAAAATTGTATAAGGTGTAATTTTTGTGAAAATGATACCAATGGGGGTATTAACCGATTCAAGAAACACTTTGCCGGTATTAAAGGGAATGTTGCTTCTTGCAAAAAAGTTCCTGAAACCATTCGGGATGAGATTAGACAATTTCTAGATTTAGAAGAACCAGAAAAGGATGAAAATGAGCTTTGTTCTATGGAAATATTTTCTCCAGGTTCTTCTAGAAGTGGTGATCCGGGTTGGAAGTATGGTTATAACCCGAATGACAAAAATCGTATTAAATATAATTATTGTGGAAATGATACTGATGAGGGTATTTACCGGTTCAAAAAAAACCTTACCGGTATTAAAGGGGATGTTGTCCCATGTAAAAATGTTCCTGAAGCTACCAGGGAGGAGATTATACAATATTTGAGTTTAGGAAAGCACAAAAAGATTGAAAATGGTAGAGTAGCCAAGACTTCTAGGGCCTCATTTGCACATAGTAAGAGGGAGATAGAAGAAGAGGAGGAAAAAGATGTAGATTCAAAAGAAACAGAGGAGAACAAGTGTTATATTGAAGAGGGAGATGACTCTGATGATGATGTCTTCGAATCTGATGCATATGATGAGGCTTACCCTACTCCTTCTGATGATGATGATGATGACTGAGGAATGAAGAGTTGAAGACTCTTGAGTGCTTGACTCTTGGTGTTGACTGTCGAGTGTTGACTATTGTGTCCTAGACTGTATATTTTTTGAATTTCTGTATATTGTTTTTCTTATTTTTAGTTTCTACTTTCTAGTGTCTACTATCTAACTTTCATGTGTATCAGACAGTGTATGCTTGTATGGTTTTACTGTTTTAGCATTGTATGAAAATATAGATTATGGTCTTATGGATTATCAAAATTCTCTTCTCGACTTCTCCTCATTTTCTCATTCATAGAAATATTAAATATGGATTATGGATAGAATATCAAAATTCTAATATTTGTGGTTAGAATATCAAAATTCTCCACATTTGCATCAAAATTCCGTCTTTTTTTTTTTTTCAACTGGGCCGCCCAGGTTCTTGGCGCCTGCCTAGGCACTGGATGGCCTTGACCCCGCATTTTGAAATACTGCTTTTATGGCACGACTGAATGTGTTCAAATTTTTCTTAGGTATGGGAAATCAAGCAGAAAAAATCCAAGCTTGTACAAGTTATTCGAGAGCACAAAAAAGCTGTGACATGCTTTGCACTATACAAACCAGGTGATAGCCTTTTAAGCGGGTCCACAGATAAAACTGTCAGGGTAATTGGCTCTGTGTCTTTCAAAATGCTTTAACAATTTTATATAGATGAGGCTTGCCTTTCCTCCATGCGAGAATGACTTGCACGGTTCCAGCTGATTGATTTTACTTTCCAATTATGTAATAACTGAATTGTGATTGTGGAATATGGACTCGTTAATTAATCTGAAATTATTTGTCATTTGTGATTGCTAGTACTTCAAATGTGAAAATTTGCATAAAATTTTATTAATTGAAGTTTATTGTTCATAATCATCCGAGCCTTATCTAAACTATTTGGGGTCGGCTGGAAATTTACTAGTTAATCAACAAATATTTTGTTCATTTGTCCAAGAATCATGACCTTTCACATCCCAGTTAAGTATTCTTCCAGCAAACCACTTAACGATTTGTGGGAGCGCTTGCTTCTAAATTAATTTAACTCAAATGTTGAACTTATTTCTCATTATTTCCCCAATAATTGTTAAATGTCATAATATCAATTTTGGACTTTTAGGCCTGCTAAATTTCTAAAGCCCAATACTTGTGAACCACCGGTTTTTCAGATTTGGCAGATGGTACACAGGAATTTGGAATGTATAGCGGTAGTTGAATTGAAGGAATCTGTCCGAAAAGTTGATGCATTTGGCAAGGAGATTTTTGTCATAACTCATGCCTCTGGGATTAAGGTAAGAAGTTTCCGGTCTTCCTGCTGTGGGTGAGTTTTTGATAGATGATTCTTCCATGCTTTGACTTCAGATGAGAGAGAGAAAAATATTCATGCAAACAAAGACTTAGATATATAGGCATAACAAATGTTGTGGTGTGTATGAGAGAGCTGATCATTATCTCCACCGAAAATAATCTTTCTGTTGCATTAACCTGTGTCAGGAAGAATTGTTCTTGACTACCTATTATTTCTTCTGTGTTAGTGTAAAAATTTTACAGTGTCAACACTCATGAAATTGACAGCTTAGAAGAACATAATTGCAGGTCTGTGATGCTTCAGGAGTTATTAAAGTCTTAAATAAGAAGAGACGTGTGCAAAGCATTAGTGTGGCCAAGGGGAAATTATATATTGGATTCAGGGATTCAAGCATACAGGTGCTGTGACTACTATCATACTTCCCCATTTCATTTGGCTCTCGTGGATCATTGAAATCCAAATCTCTCTCCCCCCCCTC